TAAACCCCGTCGCTTGGGAGGAAATTAATGGTGAAACACGACGTTGATTTTCTTCTGTTCTGTTCAAATTCTTTAGCTTTCGGTGCGATGACAGAGAGAGAGAGGGACAAGAGGTGCTTGCTTTGACAAATGGCAGCCAGACTGGTTTGGATTAGGCATTGAGCACGGTTGTTGTACTGGGAAGCAAGAGCATACTGTACCGTTGCTGCCCTGTTCACTCAGTCTGATGCTCTTGTCTATCTGACCCTCTTTTGGGGTTTTCAAGCTTCCATCCTCCGGGAGTAACCAGAAACCAATCCCTCCCTTGTCTTTTTGTTGTTGTTTGTTTGGCGATGATTGAAAACGCAGGTCATCATGTCATCCTTGTGAATTTCCAAGCACCCGCTGTCACCCGGCAAGCACATCTAGTATGGGAGCCTGGGGCAGATACCCCCGGGGGGGGAAAACAAAGTGTAAATTCATCATCAGCGCGCTCTGAATGAATACACGCGCAAGTCAAGTTGCACATTGGCGGTGACATGACGTTTAATTTTGCACAAAAGTGATAGTCTTCTTGCCAACTCGTGGCTGTTCCCCGCCCCATCCTGAAGCAGTCCTTTTGCGCCGCTGCTGTTCGTTGTGATCTTTTGTTGCAGGTCCTTCTTTATCAATCTGCTCTTGTTTGTCAATTGATTTTTGATTTTTGATTTTTTAATTTGGAGAAGAAGCATTTGTTTGTGTTTGATCTGTCTGCCCGTGCCACCAAAAACATGGGCGAGATAGTGCCCGTGCAAGCGCTCCTACTGGGGATATTGGCGTTGTGTCTCGTCAGACAGTTGCCATGCGCGGCGGCGGATATGCCTTGCGTCCTCGATGAACGGGGCATGGGAAGCTATCGGTTCCCAGAGCTGCCCCAGCTCAAGGGTTGGGTGGCTTCCCAAGAAACACAGATTGTGGCCATTGATGACCATCGAGCCGGCTTGGCCGTGGTTCAGCGTCATCCTGTGACAGCGGTAAGCCCTGCTTATGGCATTTCGCGCTGGTGGGAGCACGCGACTGAACTCACGATCTTGATCTTGTGAATATTGAATCAACTTTTGCTCGATTGATTGGGTAGACCTGTCCAAAGGGCCGGGCCACTGTCAAACAATACGTGTGTGATAGAGCGCTCACTGGAGTGCAGCCCCGCGGCGCCGAGGGCTGGCTTGACCCGTGGTGCGTGACAGTCCAGCGCCACGAAACGCAGGCTGCCTGTCGCGCCGAATGGAGCAAAATGCCATGCGCCACGAACCAAGTCCCCGTTCCTACCCCTGAACAAGCCGCATATCAGCGTCATGAGATTATGGGCGTAAGTTGACGCCGAAACTATGCAT